TATCAATCAGAGCTTCTACAGCGGTGATGTGGGTTTGGCTATCACCCAGTCCATGACATTGGTGATTATGTGTCAGTGGGGCATGCGGCAGACTGCCGAGATGGAGAACAACATGACGAGCGTGGAACGAGTGCTGGAGTACGCCCAGACGCCATCGGAGCCACCACTTGAGAGTCCGAAGAGTGTGAAGCTGGCAGATGAATGGCCGCAGGCTGGTCATCTTCGGTTCCAGGATCTCCACATGAAATATTCTCCAGGAGACAAGGATATCCTCAGAGGACTGAACTTTGAGTCCCAGCCCATGGAAAAAATTGGCATTGTGGGACGTACTGGAGCGGGAAAATCCTCTATAATTCAGGCGCTATTCCGATTGGCTCTAAATGAGGGAACCATCGAGATCGATGGATTGGATATTGGTAAACTGGGTCTCCACGATCTGCGAAGCAGAATATCGATTATCCCACAAGATCCAGTTCTGTTCTCTGGAACCCTGCGCTTCAATCTGGATCCCTTTGATGAAAAAAGCGATGAGTCCCTGTGGAGTGCATTGGAGGACGTTAAACTAAAGAAGCACGTTGCCTCATTGGAAGGAGGCCTCTCCTGTCGCATGCAGGAAGGTGGCTCCAACTTCAGCATGGGTCAGAGGCAACTGGTCTGCTTGGCGAGAGCTATTCTCCGACAGAATCGAGTTCTGGTCATGGATGAGGCAACTGCAAATGTCGATACAGAGTAAGTACTTAAGACTCTACTTTCAACAGTTTCGTAATTACCTCGTTATCCTATAGAACTGATATCCTGATCCAAGAAACCATACAAACCAAGTTCGCTGAGTGCACAGTTCTAACGATCGCACACAGATTGCATACTGTGATGGACAATGACAGTGTCCTGGTAATGGATGCTGGCCAGATTGTCGAGTTCGGAGCACCACATAAGCTCCTGCAGCGCAAGGATGGAGCCCTTCTTAAGCTAGTCAATCAGAACGATGCGGCCACCATAAAGTTCCTCAAAAAGATTGCATCAGACAGTTACAAGCGCCGCAACAAAAGGGACTCCTTGACCATAACAGAAGAATGAGCAGGGATCGCCACCGGAAGCGGGATTTTGCTTTAGCATCGGCTTTCAGAAATTTTACTGCCACGGAGAACAGTCAAATTCGGTTTTATTGGTACGAAAAGTGTACGATAAAGTGTATTTACATTGCGGTAGAATTACGCTAGTACTAATGATAGTTCGGCACTTAAAACGAGGAGACTCTGACACACGCGCGCACTCACAAGATTACAACACAGATGTATATATATGTATGTAGGTAATATATCAAAACTGTTAACTTGATGGATAGCCTAGGATGATGGTAAACATTCCATTTAAAATAACATTAGGTATTGACATGTATGGGTAAAACTAGGATCAGAAACACTCTGATATGCTCTCGAATGGAAAGAAAATGTTCAATATGTAAGCTATACAAATGCTATGCTTATGTACAGAGAACTGTAGAAACACAAATATATATACGATCAAACCACATCCGCTTCGGCTTCTTCCTGCTATTCAATTCGAATACGATGCGATGCGCGACGCAGTGCAGCGAACTCCTTGAAGACCAGTCGCCCCAGCAGCACCATGGCAATGATGTCGGCAGCGATAAGCATGTGGAAGACATACTGCCATCCGGCGGTGGAGATTAGACCGGCAAGCAGTGGTCCAACTGCCGCTCCGATTGAGCCAGTACCATCGATAATGGCCGTCACCGTGGCCAGAGCATTGGCATTCCCCTCCAAAGAGCTGTGCTGGCCCAGCTCTGCACTTACAGAGGTTGTAATCAGGGCATAGGGTCCGTTCACAAAGATGCCGACCACAATCAAAAGCACTATGCTGATTGTCATCGACAATGCACCGTATTGTTGATACATCAGCAGCTGAAACGAATACATGTCCATAGTAGAAATGGTTTCTGTAGCATCTTGGGTACTTACAATAGGGGAGGCAACGAACAACATGCCTGTGCACACAGTGGCCGACATTCCGCTCACATCTGATAGATAGCCCGCAGCTATAGCTCCCAAAATACCACCCACATCAAAAAGCGTGGACAAATCAGCGGACAATTCTGGACCCAATGTGCCTGCATTAGAGGAAATGTGTTATCGACCATTTTTTATACAGTTTTCAAGGTACTTACTGGATTTTTGTATGTATAGTGGCAGCCAGTACATGAAGGTGTAGCTCACCAGCTTGGTAAAGAACAAACATAGTGAAAACTCTACCACTCCGGGTATGAATAAAGCATCGATCAGGCTGATGGGACGTCCGCGACCCCTTGGCACAGCCTCTGGTTGAGAACGTGAAAGGATTGGAGTGCGCTCGGTGGGCGCCGATCTATAGTTAATTTCCTAAAATAAATACGACGAATTAGTAAACCATTTAAAAGCGAGAAGCGGGCAAAGCGCGAAATTTACACAAGCAAACTGGCAGACAGAACAGGAAGCCAAACATATAGTATTGCACTTACAGTTTTCGAAGTGCCGTACCCAAAATTGACCACATACTAACGCCGTGCAAAGTACGTTTTAGAAATCAAATTTGCAACATAATGGGGAGACCGGGTGTAATGTACTTCGCATGCGGAACATCAATAAAAACCTGAATCTGATACTTACGGCATCGTTGTGTCGCCCCTGCTCCTCGTCATCCTGTTCCTCATCTGACTCGTTGGCCACGCGACGCTCCTGCTGCCCGGCTTGTGGGTAACAGCCCACAATCTCCGGCTGATCCACCAGGAAAAGGAAGAGTAAAAATCCAACGGCTGCAATGATGATGCCGGGTACCACAAATGACAGCGCCCAATCGGTTTCCACATAATGCGCCGCTATAAGCGTGCCCAGAATGTTTCCAATGGATGTGTGGCTGTTCCATATACCAAAGATCAGTCCTCGTTTCGACTTTCCAAACCAACGACCGACTAGCGCCACTACACCTGGCCATCCAGTCGTCTGGAAGATGCCAGCGAATATCTGCACGATTATAAAATACCACAAACTATGGATATTGGAGGTGCGAGCAATGCCAAACATATAGGTGAACACTCCGGTGAGTATCATGCCCATGGACAAGAAGTATCGCAAGGAAACGCGCTCCGCCACGAAGCCAGAAACGAACATGGCGATGGCATAGGAGAAGAGGAAGGCCGAGTCCAGCATTCCAAAGAGTGTGGTGGCATCCGGAACATCTGTAAAATGGCAACTAATTTATAGGCTTACAACTTAGAACAGCTTGGGGGCAAACTCACCAAACGGTGCGTATCCACATTCCTGACCCGATGCAGCCAGCGCTGTGGAACAGTTTCCTTGGAGCACCGACTTAACCACGGAGATGGGTTTGCGGCACATGTGATAGCAGGCGTACGCCAGGAAAGTTAGCACGAACACAGACATCTTGTAGCTGAAATACATATCATATCAATATAGCTATTAGTAATACGATAAATACGGGTAAGATAAACTTAACAAACGCTACAACACTCATATACAATCTAATCTTCTCAAGAATATTAAAACTTCTCCAATCTATTTACAAGCTATCACAAACTCACAGCAGATCTCTGCGGGCATGGAACCGGGTGCAGCATTGCCGGGAGAGCCGCTGGACCGCCCGGATGCCGAATGGCACGTCGTTGTAGTTATTGCTCATCTTTCGCGTTCTGGTCAATCCCAGTGGAGCTCTCATCGACCGGCACAGACGATGGGCGAGGTGCAAGTGCTGCTCGTCCAGGTGGCTGGGTTCCCTAATCCGTTTCGGTTGCGTATGAGGCCAGCTACCTGAAAGAACAATGATCAACAGGTAGGTGGTGAGTGATGTGCTGGTGACTCAGTTCGAGATACATTTTCCCTTTCCCAGGGGTGGGAGGTGCAGGCATAGCGGGAGTGGGTCGCGGTTACAGCTGAGGTCGCGGAATCGAATGCGGATAAAATATCCGAACCTATCACCATATGTTACTGCCCTCTAGTTTTCTTGTTTACGTCGTCGTTTCGCGCAAACAATGGAGCTTCGTATCGCAGTCGTAAAGCAAAATGCGTTTCCGCTAGCTTTTCTATTCTGCTGCGTTGGCGAAAAATGCCCAACTTATATAGTGTGCTTTGGTTCGAGATAAGGAACCACGCGTTTTTTATCTCAAGGGACGCCGAATGTTTATTTCTTATACCGATATCACAGATGCCTTCAGTTCATAAGGTGTTTATTTACTTTTTTGTCACTTGTCCTTATCAATTTACAGAGTATTTCACAGTCGGCGCGTGCCGGATACCTATGTCTTTTGTTTGTGAACGCCCCCAAAAGGAATTTATTGCGGAATCTAACAGATTGCTAGGGATTTATCAATGCCACAATGAAAAACAGCACTGGGCATTTAATATTACCGTTAAACACACCTAAACAGCTGCAGTAAACAACATTACTCCGTCGGAAAAATAACAAAATAGAGGTGGAGAAACATCGATTGCTACTCGCGACTATCGATATTTGCTGGCAGTGTGAACATGGCTGTCACCTTGGGTATATTTTAGTACATTTGCAATATTATGATTTTGTTTAAATTACAGTTATATTTTAAACTTGTATTTGAAAAATTACGATTACAAGAGATCATTTTTAATTATATCTTCTGATAGGGAACTTGATACGATTATTCATTTTTTGTACGAGGCTTTTATTTGTATTACTTTTTAGCATTTACGTTTAGGTAACATTTGGGATCCACATACAGTTGCCTATAGATTTGCTTTACAAATTAGAGGTTGACACTTGATCTCGGAATTCCATTTCCTGAGATCACTGGCTAATTATTTCTTTTGACACGCGACACAATGAACAAATACGAATTACTCACTATCCGTTTGTTGACAACAACGACCAGCAGCGTGCACATGACCTGACTTTTTAATCAGACTCGACTGAGAGCGGAAAATGCTCTGGATTTTTCCACACCTATACGTTAATTTTGTCCGCTTCCAGCGCGAAAATCAAGGCGAGTAACAAGAACAATTGCAGGTGCTAATAACGGCTAGCAAAAACACTGCGCCAATTGTATAAATTGCGGGAGTTAGCCAAGTTGAGCCACACTTAACAGCCTGCAGTTCAGCTAAGAACAAGTAGATTTTATATAACTTAAAACTCATAAACGTACCATTAAAATGCGGTGCAACAGGGTACGTACAGTTGATACCGTCTAAAGTACATATTGCTAATATATCTATCTATACAATAGATTATCTTCCACCTCCTTGCCTGTTTCGCGACTCTTGAGCTCGTGCTCGGTTATCCGCAAGAGCGTACCACAGCGGAACAGATTCGAAGAATAAGTAATGCCAGTGAAGGGTATACTTCCCCGGAGATACCTTCGACCAGTGATACTCTTACGAATCTATACAGATATGAGAGAACTCTGAGTAGATTACGGAGAGCTCTGGAGGAGTTGGCCTACGAGGAGGCGGCTGACGACATGGAGCTGGCAGAGATCAATGTATTCCGGCCGCTCTTCCGTTACCGATCTCAGGTGGTGAAGGTAAAGAATCCCCAGCAGCAGTTTGGCTAACTAAGCGCTTTAGTTTGGCGACACATTGATAAGGCATTGCCTCATCTATCGAAAACCAATCATATGCCATTGATAGCTTTTATACAAACCTAGCCTGTTAAGATGTAAAGTAGAACTAATTTATATTGTTAAACATTTAAATATTTTATTGTTTCATTTTGGTTGAGCCTATGCGCTTTGCAAATATACACACGTGATTAAGCATATGTACACATCAAACTATGTATTTCCCATTAGAGTAAGAATATTATTGTAGTTACTTTTCATGTTTCCACTTTGAGCACATTTACTTGAAGGCCTTGTGGAGGACACGCGAATTCCTTGCATTGCACTATTTCTTGGAAGGATTCCTAATATAAACACACAGACACACACATACATATTTGACTAAGGAAGACACAAAGAATATTGACTTCTAACTCTACAATATAAATATATATACGATGGACACTCATCGAGGGCTATGACTTTATTTATTTTTATTTTTTATTTGAAATCTGTCTACGCAGCTAGCTAACTCCCTGTAAGACTTCCCTAAGCTGCAAAAAACGAAAATAACAAAGTGCTGCACCCGATTTTAACACATACTCTACATATGTAAATCTTATATGAAAATCGTTACTCTTTGGTTACACACATATATATGTATATATATAAATCTGCTTGCTGGGAACATTTTGCACACCTCTACTCTGCTTGTAAACAGCTAAGCCGCTAGCCAGCTTATGAAAAATATTCCCCTACTTGCTCATGGCTTAGAAAAGTTACTAAAGTTGCTAGTTAAGTACATAAGTAGTGTTGTTCTCTGTTTAGTTTAGTTAAGTTTAGTTAGAATTTTTGGTTTGCTCCTTTCGCTTGGTTCCATTAAGTTGCTCATACACATAGTCGCTGCAAGCGTTACACATACGTCCCTATGTTTTACATTAAATTTGATTTAATTTTTGATTATCAGGCTTAGGTTAGACACTACTAATAGCTGGCTGCACCACACACACTCCTGGGTATGCAAATGGCTGTTTACAGGCGAACTGGAGAGCTTCGAAATCTCGAAACCTGTTTACATATTAGATGAGCCCATCTGGTAGCACTTATAGATAAAGCTTTCTGCCTGCTCCCGCCGGTTATACACATATTCACATATCAACACACTTAGCCGCTAAGCATATAGACCTATAGATGGGATCGATTCCCCTTTAGAGCACCTGCAGGTTCTCGCAGTGCTTGAACTTGGAGTCCTCCTTGCCCAGGATCCAGGTGAGCATCTGGCGGGCCTTCATGCTGGCCAGCATCACGCTGCGGCTTTTGTACCAGTGCGCCGGCGAGTTGGCGTCCCTCGGTCCCTGGAATGGGTTAAAATATTAGATAACTCAAATGTACTCTGCACATTCGCAAATGTAGAATTGTACGACTTGGGTGGGAGGGGTTACGGTCTGGGCTTTATGTTTCGGTTTATTTACATTTGGCTCTCTATTCAACTGCATTTGTGGTCATTCCATTTCGGGCGCCAATTGAAGTTGCATTTTTCATGTACTTTGTGCGGATTCTGGGAGTGGGTACAGGATAATAAACAACAAGCAAACAAAACACTTTTGGCAGTGGGCTTGGAATAGTTTCTCTACTCTTGGACACTTGACACATTTTCTTCTTGTTGGCAAACAGGCAAAAGTTCTTTTGTCGGAAGTTCCGGGGGCTTATATAGTATGAATATAATCAACAACGCATAAACAGGGCGTAATGGCTTAGATATTATTGGATTTCGCAGAAAAAGTATCTAAAAGGACATTGCGGTTTTTTAGTTTATGCATAAAATATTGCTATTGAAAACAGTAATTTGCTTTCAGGACACATTGATTCCATTTAAATAGCATGAATTTAGAATCTAGAAACTTGCAAAAGTAAATTGAACAATATGTCCCTTATTCTTTTAGACACCAAGTAGGTTATACGGGGCATAATTTTTATACATAACATCATGCTCGTCTCGATTACGGGTTGGGGTTTGAAGAACACACTAGACATCGATTAAATTCAGTCCGGATAGCGGAAAGTTTTAAGTGGATTTTGAGTCGGGGTACATTTAGTTTTACTTACCCCTTCGTCGGCTTTAAGATCAGTCAGACAGTTATCAGTTTCTACAGTCTCTATGTTTGTGTTTTCTTTAAATTTGTTTTTATCTTTTGATTTTTTCGGATTAAGCTGCGAAAGCGATCGATGTACATTGATTACAAGACACCAAAACAGAGATAACAGAGATAGATGGGATACAACTAGCTAACCAGCTAACTGTTACGGCAACTAGAGCTATAGAGAGCTAGAGCTAGACCTATGGGTTTTCTGTTCTTTTCTTGGGTTTCATTGGGGATCTAGGACATACCTGCAGCTGGACTTGGTCCTTCTTGAGGCGAATCTGGGTGAGCGTGCCGGCCAGCAGCTCGTCGCAGTTGTGATTGATGCCCACGGAAACCTCGATAAACTTGGCTCCGAACGTGCAGGCCAGACATTTGCCATCTACGGGAGGAGCAGAGTGGAGCAGAGTGGAGCGGTCAGGTCACGCCACTTAATTGACGATGCAAATGAATGCAACGACTTGTCGGTGCTGGTGGCGGCTAATTGCAATACTCACCCTGGGCGGAAACGGCGCGTGAGCGGGCCAAATCAATTTTGTTGGCCACCAGGATGGTGGGTCGGTGGCGCAGGAGGTCCATGTCCTGCAGCCGCGATAGTATCTGCTTGGCCCGCGTGAAGGACTCCTTGTCGATGCAGGAGTAGACCACCAGAAAGGCGTCCGCCTGCTCCAGTTCGTCCTGGAAGCACACAAAACGGGAAACACAAACGGGCCAATTGAAACACGGAACTCAACAAGTTTACAACATTCTGGGCATCAGGCTTTCGTGACTGCCGAAAGTATTAAATGCCATGTTTTATTGCAGCCCAGTGGAGGCGAAATGAAAAGTTCTTAACTGTGCACCGTCAAGTGCAGGCGTTGAGCGAAAAGTCGAGCATCCATACAGCTCGACTCAGGCCAGCCCACATTTTCCGCACCCACCGCCTTGCGCCGGGCTTCCTTTTGTTGCCGGCACTTTTGCATTTTATGCTCGTAAAAATTAAAATTATGGCCACTTGGCATCGCAATAACGTGGCGGGCGAGGGCAAAAAGTTTCCGCCTCCCCCAGACTTTTAATGATGTTCATTTATCTGGCCCATACATTACCGGGTCAGCGAGACGGCTCTATCGTCCAGGTCCTTCGAATTCACCTTTTCTTAAAGGTGCGAATGCGTTTACTCATTAACATTTCACGGCGTTGCGCTATAGCGACCTGCTTAATACTCTTTCTTTAACAAGGACATTTAACAAGGAAGTCACTTCTTCTTATTGCTACTATCAGCGATATAAACCTGACATGTCAGGATTCAAAATTATACATTCGCTTGCATTGGAAACTCGCCACTTGGTGAGTCTTTCCTTCGCATTCCTGAGCTCTTTCGGCCTTACATACACTTGGTCTGCGGTGACGTCGGCAGGCTTAATCCAGCCCAGGGTGCTCACTTCCGGTTCCGTGGCTCATAAAGCCACGCCAGGCACATCCGCATCCGCATCCGCATCCGCCATTTGTAAATTTGGCACTTGGCATTCGGCGTCAAGGTGCTCGGGATTGGCGGAGGCTTGAGGTCAAACCTTAAGCAATTTATTATTTGCTTTTCCACACATTTTGGGCGCCATGCACGAACGCCTTGGCTTTAATTCGGTGATTTTGGTGTCGCCTCCCGAATGGATAAATTGTTGCCATTTCCTTTTATTTGTCCCCGTCGTCCGAGTCGTCATCGCCATCGCCAGCGCCATCTCCATCAACGGAATCGTCATCGGCGATTATAATTATCATTATCGTGTTCATTTGTATTGTTTGCCACCCTCAAAGGCGGCGGCAAACGGCCCCGTTGGCCATTTGGCAATCGTCCAGCAATTTGGCATTTCGATTGCACAGTGGCTCAAATCGCTGTACTTATATTTGACTTTCCTCGCTGGGCGCTCCTCTTTTGCCACCCATTTTGCTGTGCCAACGGTTGCAAATTGCTTTGCTTGCAGGCGGCGGCGCCGTCTGGCAGGATTTTAGATGAATTCCTTAAATTTCAAGGCACCTCCAGCATGCCGTGCCTTTGGCCGTAATTAACCGCATTTCGCAGCTTTCTGCAATAGTTTTCATGGTTTTTCTCGAGTTCCCGAGCTTTTCCCCCTGTCATTGTGGGCGGTTACCTCTCGCATTTCAGCAACTCATTTTGCATCTGTAATTAATTCACTTTGTGCAATACATGCCCGCACAGTTGGCACAAATCACTACCCGTTCCCCCGGGAAAATCCTGGTAGCCAGGCAGGCAGGCAGCCGGGACACAAGCTCATTTGTCTGGCCAGTTAATGGTGAATTATTCAACGGCAATTACAAACACAAATAGGAAAGCTGCTGTCCCCTGACAAATTATTTACCTTGCTCTCTGGATTTCCAGTGAGGAATTTCAGTTCCGATTCGGTGCCATTCAAGATGATTGAGACGTTCTGCTCGGCATCGTCGCATTCTGCAAAAAGTTGAATGTTGAATGGTGGCACTGGTTACAGTTTCAGCTGAATTATGGCAAATTCATCATGCCTACTAACCAGGTCCATCGTAGGCATTGATGCAGTCCGAGGTGCGGAACTGCAAAACCAGAGCCTGCTTGCCCACACCTGCTGATCCCAGCATTTCGACGCGATAGAATTCCACCGGCTGCTGGTGCTGGTTCTCCTGGGCATTGGCATTTCCGAATCCGTTGCTGCTGCTGCCGCCGCCGCCGTTGTAGCCACAACCCAGTCCCAGGCTGCTTCCGCCCCCGGCCACGCCCCCCAGGCCACCGACGCCATTGCGTGTGTGCATGGGACTGGATGGAGCCAGGCTGTTGCTCCTCGAGCGCCGGCGACGGAAGGAGTCCCCTCGATTGATGATACCTGTGGCGAACAGAAAACAGTAGAGGGTTGTCAAAGCTCGGTGAGTCGTCGGCTTAAAAAAGAAAAGCGTCACCTACGACTATTTCGTATTCCAACTGCATGCGGGAAACTTTTGTTAGTCTACCTGTCATACGCGGCGTATGTGCAACGTGCGCTGGCTTTACGACTCGTTGCGCATACGCCACGTAGCCGCGGCAGAAATTACAGCTTCCTGCCGCAAGGCCAACGTCAACAATAGTTAATCTGCCTTTTGTGTTTCATCTGTGCCCAAGCAGGCCACCGCCACCGCCTCCCCCTCCCGCTGACCTGGCTGTCTGGGTTTTCCTGCCAGCGGTTAGAGGAACTCATTATTCGGTGGAAAATTTAAGCGGTGCTTCCTACATTTTTGCACCAAATAATGCCAAGTATTTACATTATAATTGCCACATACAATGAATATTAATGGGCGACTTCTGAGCCACTTAATGTGCTCTTAAGCAAAAATAAAACAATTAAAAATACATCGAATGTGATGTGGGACAAGTAATGGTTATTTTAACCCATGGCGTTGTTCCGGAATTCGCAAAATGTTTCTATGACTTTAGGTAGATTTTTTGCATAGTCATAGTCAATTGCTTACGGATTATGTTCGATTTTAAATTTTTAGTACATCTCGGAGTTGCGAAATCAAATTATCCAGATACATTAATTGAATGCAGCTCGATATTCCTGCTGCTCAGCTGTGGCAATACCGCACACATAATTTAATAACAAAGCCGAGGGCATAGCAAGTAGATTGACCGAGCAAAGGCCGAATAAATCTAGATATAATCCGCACATCTGTCATTACCCTTCCACCTACCCAGCTGCCCCACATAGGGATAATGCCCGCCCGAAAAGGTATTACCCAACGAAGATGCCGAGTCAAGAGCCTTTGAGCCACATGCGGCCATTGTCATTTGTAATCCCTCAGGCCGGTTGATGTACTACACACACATATACACATGGCCGACACTGTACGATTTGTTCGGTCGATGCAAGTGAGTGCTGTGTACGTTTGAAATGTCATAAATAGATTTATTGCCAGCCTTATTGCATTTAGCCGTCGCGCGAAATCTACGAGTCTAGATTTTTCAGTATTCGTTGGCATTTGCTGGCTCCTCATCTGCGGTCATTAATTTTGCAAATTGATTTAATTGCCAAGACCGTTCTAAACATTTATATTTGAACACACATGGTGGTAGGCTACCCCCTCTTTTTTGTGTACGGGCATGGGCCGTCATCATTGGAAAGCCATAAAACCATTTTGGGTGGCCATTGGGAATATCCCAATTTCCCCTTTCTGGGGCATCGGGGATTACGAAACTGCGCGTGTGGGTAACAATTCACTTGGAATAGGTGCAAACGGGCGGCCATAAAAATAGCGATTTAGTTTCGCGAAATTTCTCACATCATATAGCTACATATGTGGGCAATGTTCATATCTATTCTTAGCCATTTGCTATAATTGAAACTGACTAATCTCTGGAGTAATTGCAGCGCATTTTCCTGATTTTCCGCTGGCCATTCCTCAAACAAACGTTTTCGTTTCACTTCGCTTTGATGTTGGTTCAGCACTTTTCATTTTCCCGTGAGCATACTCAAGTGTTTGTTTGCTCGGGGCATAACTGTTTGAGAAAATAAATCGAACATTTTATTTGTTGATTGATTTACAGTGGGACGAGTGTGGCAGGAGATTTCGCATATGCTGCCACTTTTGAGATATGATTTACCGACTCCAAGGTCAGACGCATTTTGTTTATGCGAATATAAATCCACCGCTGTACACAACAATCGAATGTTTCGCAATTGGCTAAAAACGCTGCAAAATATCAGGGGAAATGCCTGTACCACCATGCGAGTATGCCGCCACTCGCATTTCATTCAATTACAGGACAATGGCCGGCTCTTGTGTGGAAATGTATTTATATGGAAAATTCATTCGGGCCTCTTTAGTGGCTGCCATCGATGACTGACACTCGCCCGGGCATTTCAATTAATCAAACACCACCCAAATCACCCAAGCCACCCAGCCCGCCCCAAACATATTCGATTCAATGTCGGGCTGTCAGTTTTTCGCCAGCTCATTTTAAATTTGCCACTCGTGCCGACCATAAGCGCACTTGTATAGTAGTTGATGGATGGGCACAGCTCCCTTTTTGTCGGGACTCATTCCCACACGATCTGACAAACATCTTGAGCGAATTAAAATTAATTAAAGAACGCACATGACTCCTGGCGAGAAACAACCGCAAAGCAAATCTGCCACCTCTTGGCATTCCACTTGTATTTGAAAGCAATTTAGTTGAGCAAACACAGACACTTCATTGAATTTTAATATGCACTGCATTTGGAACGCTGCTCAGCCGCTGTAAGAAGTTAGCAAGCGAACTTGGGGTGAACTTTCAATACCCTTTAATGTCCCTTGAACTTCTAAGAGGGCTGTGATGATAAAAGGGATACTCTTCATAGAATTTAACCATCATATTTAAAACAGATGCCATTTAGTATTGGCCTTGATTGTTTATACACTTAAATAACAGACTCTTTTTGATTCTTCGAAAGCTGGTTGAGTGTGAGAATAAAACTAGCCACGTGGAGTTTACTTTAAAACATCTGTTTATGCACATTTATTCGCCACTATCCCCATCCCAAGCTCCTAACTATGCTGCGTCTGTCAAATGGTTCCGGCTCCTCCTTCATGACTAAGTTATGACACCTCGTGCTGTTAGTACGCGGGCTTGTCGTCTGTTTCCTGTCATGTCTGCTCAAGTGTTCCGTACTCCGTAGTCCGTACCCTGTCTTCGTATTCCGTATTCAGCTTAAACACGTACTTTAAGTCTGACATGCACTCATGGATGCTAAACCCTTTTGGGGGCGGGATAAGATAGCAACTATAAAGCTCATCAGCTATCTAAGGAACCACAGGGAAATAAAGAATGTTTTCTACAAAAAGTAAAACCTTACCTGCTTCGTCAGGTGTAATCAATCAGTTTATCTGCATTCCACTGACAAAACAGGCGCTTTAATCCCAAATTTACCTAAGGCATGCAGCTAAGCTGGCTAATCGATCTTAATTGAATTTGAGACACTTGAAATTGTTGCCAACTTTTCAACGAGATATCATCTTCAAACTTTTAACCAAGTGCCTTACAGTTCCGCGTCGCACTGTAAGTGGTTGGGATGGCCCACAGTGCGTATGTGTAACAATAACGTGACACAAATGTAGAATATAAAGGAAGGAAAAAACACACACATGTACATATGTAATGACAAAACTTCGCAGGACTATGTGGTTCGTTGAGTGTGTGTGTGCATGCGTGCATGTGTGTTTTTGACTGGGTATTCATATTCTATCCGGAGTGGCATTTAGTGCCACTGATAGCTCCTTAACATCTTCGGGTAACAGCCTTTTAAGATTTCAATAAGGATTGCTGCGCTGCGTGTCCCGGAACGAAACTATAATTTTATGCCGTCTGGTGGTGTATCGTGTGTCCCCAAGATGATGTGCGTGATCCCAGCGCCCAGTTCCATGTTGCCCCCCAAACCCATGGCCGCATTGTTAGGATGTGTAATCCCAGTCATCTGGCCCTCGAGCTTTGTTGACTTTCAATTTCGAAATTAATAAATGCTCCTCAGTGGTCTTTGCTACGCCCCTCGAGCCAACTCACCTCCCTTGGAGGCGCTGAAAGTGCGCAATCTGTCCACATCCTCGTCGTCGTCGTTGACGCGCAGGTGATGCATGTTCATGGTGGGCACGTCCAGGAAGGCGTTCGATTTTCTGTGTGCTGAAAGAGATTAATGTGGATTGCATTAGGGCTTGGGTTCAGCCATTAGGCCATTCTGTAATCCAGTTTGAATAATTTACAAATGCATTAAGACAGCCTAGCTTATGATGATGATAAATGCATTTAAGTTGAGTTTATGAAAACGTATTATTTCAATTATCTCTGATATATCTATGCTATTTTTTCAGTACATTTATAAATTTCCTCTATGATTCCTGTCAAGAGTGCTGAGTGAAAAAAAAAACAATTTGAATACATGAATAAACATTGGCACGCAAAACCCGACCGTAGATAAATATGCGCGTAACCGTTCGGTTAAACGTGCTGCATTATTGATTCAGTATTCCCTGCTCCAGCTGGCTGACATTTGGACAGCTTTAATGGTTTCCGTTTCCCCATGTCGAGTTGACAGGGAGAAGTGCCACACACGTAGCTGTAGCTCACTTGCTGGTCGGGTAAACTGGGTCAATGGTTAAGTTCATCGAACGGCCACGTTAATTGAATCAACATTATGGAAAGGTACTTAACAAAGGCCAGATGAAGCTACCACCTACTCGTAGTGTGCCGAATCGAACTGCTTCAGCTTCAACGCCTCGCCTTAAAGTCCTGCACTCCTGCAGGATGCCACATGCTCCTTATGCCACCAGGACTTAATGGTCAATTTTACATTGCCGCCGCTCTCGTGCTGCGAGCAATTTGGCTGAGAGCTTAGTTTATGCCACATAAAAGATCAGGCTCGGCACTTGGCTAATTTGTTGCCGTTGTTTCGCCGCTTTGATGGCTCCATCCGGCCATTAAAAGCCACAACTCTAACTAACTTATGTACAAGTGCGGTCGAAATTCTAGTGAGCTGTGCGCAAGCATCTTGCGGATACTAATGGAAAGTGGTATAAAAGCTTGGACAAATAAAGCGATAGATTTTAGTCTCTAATTTTCTTTGCACTTTGCCATATTTGGTTTTAAGAGGTTTTGGTAGCTTGAATACTTGTGCTAAGTAGGAAACAGCCGGAGTCACTTGTTCTTTGATTGCTCTTAAGCATAACTTAAGACGACGAAAAAGAGCTAAAGCTATATAACTGTCAAACTTGGTAGATCTTCTTGAGGTTTGTTTTGTACCTCTTCTCAGTGCAGCGCCTAATCTTGTTATCTACAAAGTTCCGAGGTAGCAAATAAGCTCGAGCACTCGAATTGAACTTTGCCAGCTTACCATCCAGCGCCTTTGGCATCCACTGGGTTCTTATGTTCTATGCTATTCACCGCCACTGTGGCTGCTTATCTCCGGCGTAATTTACTCACCGTGCGTCTGTGGCCTCCGCTGCGATAGCTTGCGGCGCTGCGGAGGCGTCTCCGTCTCGCTCAGCCGGGGCTCACTGGTGCAGTAGCTGCGGGTCTCCTGGAGCGTGTGCTGCTGCTGCTGCTGCTGCTGCTGCGCCTTGGTCTTCTGGCGGACCTGCAAGAGGGGAGGGGGGAGGGGGAGTGTCTTTAAGGCAGGCTATACGGAACTGTGCGCGTGCATACAGCCATCTATCAAACGCGGCCCAAGGCAATCGCTGTGATTTATGTACTGCCCTTGCCGATTGACTGCGAAATTAAATTGCATTTCTCGGTCGCAGACGGACACACAAATCAAATTGCATTTGTTTGTCCTTTGAGAAACATACGCCCACCAGCACTTGGCCCCCGCCAATGGCATAATTTATCGGCTTGTCTCGTCCTCGCTGGAAGGGCTCCTCCGCGATCTGTGGAGAGCTAGGGGAAGTCCCCCTAAATGTCAAGGTTAAACGCCTTGGCCACTCCAAATGCAATCAGCGCCAGCGCTTGTTTCGCCCGCCGCAAAAGTTTCCTGCTCTGGCATTGGCGATGGGGTGAATCATGGTGGCGTGGTGGCGTGGTGGCGTCCCTGTTCCAAGTCCTTCATGCCACATCCAAGTGCCTGTCAAGCGGCCTCAGCTCTGCGGCGCTCCATTGGAAGCCTGCCGGCGACGGGGCGAAAACTAATTTCACCACCTGTTCCGGCCATGTAAGCTTCTTGTTCAGTTTCTTTGGTCCAGTGTGCAAGTGTAGGGGCGATATATTTATAGCTGTTGCCATAGCCCATGCAAAGCGGCCAACTTTGTTAGCCACTTCCGTTTGCCTTGGCCCAAAAACAGGGGCGAGGGCGAACAATATGATTTGGGTGTTAGGGACCAATTAGTTGGCAGTTCGAAATTATTAAGCTGTGCCGCTTATGCCTTGATTCTAATTAATGAGAAGTTATACTCGTAGGTGCTGGATTAATTGCTTAAGACTATAGAAATGTTTCGTGGACTTTTAAATTCATTTAAATTACGAAACTTTCACTGATTTGCTTCTGCTTTAAGTGCAGTGTTGGAATATCAAATGGAAACTAGCGTTTGTTCAGATGTTTCTTTGAGCTTCAAAATGATTCCGTGTCCAATAAAAACCATTTTTTGTCTGATTGAGTTATGACCGAAAAGGTTTTGTGGCCTGAATTCGCTGCTGATCAGGAATCTTAATCCCCTGAAAGCCCAGCTGATTCCGCCTCTGTTCCTGCACAAGGTTTCCTCATCGCTGGAGGACGGCACGCCGGAAGCGCTTGCTACGTGGCGTCGGCTGTCAAGTGGCCAGGGATTTGGGCCACGTTGAGTTTCTGGTCAGTCGGAGGGCTCGGCAAAGCCGCCAAATCCGCAGGAAGGCAGGAAGTGTGGCTCAGGGGGCGGGCGGCCATTAGGCGAGCTGTCAGTGTAAACGTTCCTTGTTTATTTAGTGGCCGCTCTTTTGCGCTTTTTACGGCGCACACACATTGATATACTCGTATAACCACGAACCGGACTGTACGTACGTATGTGTGCATTTATCCTGGCATTTCATGGGCTCTCGTGACCAGTAATTGCTCTTCTTTCTTGGCCAAATGTTTGCCTGGTCTACTTGCCGGCTTAATCAAATATTACGACCATACGGACGGACCCACACATCTGATCCGTCCGGATGCAGTGGTCGATGGAACTTCGGCTTCTCGCTTCAGAAATTAATTGCTTCCTGGCGCTAGTTCATTGACCATGCGGTGCTCCGCGGCATGTCCTCCGGCGGAGTCTTCAATTTGTACCCGCTTAATCCCCAATTAGTCCTCTGTGGCAGCGCAGATAATTTATTTTCTTAATGCGCTCCGTTTTACGGGGCTCGCCATAGTCGTGGAAGGGGATTAAATTAAAATTTGAATTAATTTCACATTTCCCAGGCAGATACTATTTGACTTTTAAATTGATACGACAGATTTATACCATCTTCAATTCTATACCACAAAGCTTGCTTTAGTTATACCATATATTTAGTTTGGCACAATGCATCTTCTATTTTTCTCACAAATTTATTTTGCTACTGCTTAAAGTTTTGATTGCACACAAGACTGCAATTTCCCTCCCTCCGTTGAACTTTTGTGCCGAAAGTCTCAAAATATTTTCCTATTCGTGGCAGCCCTATGTCTGCTGTGGCTATTTGTTGGTTTTTGTCTACTATTTGCATGGCATATGTCTGACTTTGGCTCCCAGAATGCCGTGCAATACGAAAATAGCTTCAGATGCGACTTCATCGGGTTCGCTGTTGTTGTGGCATCTGCTCATTAAACTTTTGCGTCTGCAGATGAAAAGTGCCAGCGACTTATCGACATTGGGACATCATGGCACTGAAACTCAAAGTTTTCTTCCTCGCTTCTGCCGAATATATCCGTACTCATCTCTTTCTTATTGCAAGAGTCGTTTCAGCGCTTCTACCTCGCTTTTAATACCCTTTTTTTTGTTAGATACTCACACTTCCAAGTATATAGATTTTTAACCAAGTCTCCTATCTATCTCTTATGAAGATCTCGCACAAGTATGTGCAATCATACGCTGAAATGTAGGCAACGTTTTTTTAGAAACCAGGTATTCAATAGTCGGGAGCGCCAAGCATTAACTTCTCACTTGCTTAGCTGCGAACTCATTACGACCACGCCCCCGAAAGGCGGAAACCACGTGTGTGTGTCTTGGAAACTTTTTCTATATAAATTACCAGCTCGGGGCGCATCTCAGGCGATGAGAACGACATTTTTAGCACGATGCATGGGAGTATGGCTGCTTTTTGTTGCCTCGTTTGCTTACTAATAATGTCGCCAGCAGAAGCGAAAAAGGGGGATTCACCAGCGAGGGATTTTCAGCACCAGAAGCTGCGAGCTGCGAGCTGGAAGCTGGAAGCGTCCCCCTCAGCCAGGGAAACTCATACGCAACGTATGCCGCCACGTGGCGAAAGTCTTTTGTACGAGACAACCATCAGTCCGATGAAATTGAATTTCGCCGCGATATAACTCAATTCACACGCCGCCCTGCAAGTGTTTCGAATTCAAGGCTCCTCGGACGGCTTGGTGACGAATCAATTGAATTCAGATTTATACACCAGTTTCTTGTAGAGTAAAAGGGTATACTATATTCGTTTAAAAGTATGTAACAGGCAGAATGAAGCGCTTCCGACCATATAAAGCATATATATTCTTGATCAGGATCCGAGTCGAACTGGCCATGTCCGTATGAACGCCTTGATCTCAGGAACTACAAAAGCTAGAATGTTGAGATTCTGTTCAGCTTCCAGAGACATAGACGCAGTGCAAATATATTTTCTTCTATCATTTTTTTTTAATTTTTTTAAACTTTTCCTGATGATTAATTCAAAAAAATTAAAAAATAGGCCAAATCTGAAGTTCTAAACTCCAAAACTCAACTCATCTTAATCGGATTTTGAAGTGGCATACCTCTAAATGTTTCTGGGTATCTGATAGTCGGGCAACTCGACTATAGGATTCTATCTTGATTTTACTTTCGGGCATGAAAAATACAAATAAATCCAGCGGCCTAAAATAGGCTTTCAAATTTCAGTCAACATAGGTCGTCGCTTAAGTCGGACGGGCTTTATATTTTCAGAAGGAATTCAAGGAAACACACTGTATAATCATGGAAATGCGCGATCGACTCCAGAAGTTAATACCCAACTCGAGCGTCATGTCGCACGCCACTGTAAGCGAGAGTGCAACCGAGATTGCGATCCTGAATCTGAATAGAAACGAAGGCTTAGAGAGCACTGTGACCAGGATCCTAGTGGCGATCGAGGAGATGTTCTGCAATTACTTCGAGGAGCTCCAGAAGGAGCTGGAACTGCAGAGGATGGCGGCCAAGACTTTGAACCAGCTGAGCCAGCGTTACAGGATCAACACGCAGGTGGACTTGAGCTGCACGTGCCCGCAGATCTATGAGATCGAATCGGACGATGCGATCATCAACAAGTTCTACATCCACTACCAGGTGATAGCCAGTTCCAACAAGAACCAGTTTTGGGCCATCCAAGGCCTGCGTCCGTACGTGCTGCTCTTCCGCCGCGAGTGCGCCAAGTTGAATCTGAGCGCGGATACTCCCTTCATCATGGGTGACGCCTTCCACAAGCCAATTAAATTCTTTATGGAGCTGGTGGAGGAGCTGTTCTCCTACTTCTACAGTGGTCACGTGCAGTTTGACTGCGCTGCCCAAATGTTGGATCCCTTGGACCTGAACGGCATCGAGTACTACCAGAAGCTATTGGCACCCAACGAGGACTTTCTGCATTACTTTAAGTACAACATGAGCTTCTGCAAGTGCCTGCGTACGCCGCACAGGTGTCCTGCCTACGAGTATCCGCAGGTCACAGAGGATCACAACATGCCCTTTGTTATCCAGGCCAAGAAGAGGCGTTGTGCCAGGCGGTGCGAGAAGATGGCCGAGGCCACCGAAACGAATTTATTGGACCGCAAGAAGTCCATGGTTAGACTGCAACGTCCAAGCGAGATGTCGGGCATTGGCCCCGGTCAGGACTCATTAGTGGATAGGCGGGAGAGCAACGTGAGGGAACTGAAGAGGTCCATCTCTACTCACCAACGTCGCAGTCAGCGGTCTATCATAAGTATTACCAAGGAAGTTTACCACGATCCCTTTTCTACCAGCCCCCATGAGCTCACTCTTAAGGATTCAGTAATCAGATGGTCGGTGAACCCTCAAATTCTCAATATGCAAGTGAACTGATTCCGGTGTATCATAACTTTTCAAATTTTGCAATCAGTTGTTACATTTATCTAATACAGCATGAGGAGTATCTATTTTAGTAAATTGTCTACTGAGTTCCCACACATCAACTTGTTTCCTTCGGCAACGATCCTACTAGGTATTTTCCCCATTTTGAAAGTGGCTTATATGATTTCCCATTCCTCGTCGAACTAAACGTCATTCAGACGATTTCCTTGTTTTGCTAGAAAACACACTAAAACACCAAGCCGAAAATGGAAATGCGCGATCGGCTGTACCAACTGATGGTGAACCAGAGCTACATGTCCAGGGCCACGGAGACCGCGAGCATGTCCAATTATGCGATGGGGAATCTGAGCATCTCGGATGCCACAGAAAAGGCGGTGATCAAGCTGCTGCTGGTGATCGAGGAGAAGTACCGGAGTTACTTCGACAGCTACAAGAAGGAGGTGGAGCTCCAGAGGATCGCGGCAGAAACCCTGCACCAACTGATTCAGCGCTACAAGATCGCCATGCAGCTGGACGTGAACTGCACGTGTCCGCAGATCTATGACATCGAGTCGGACGATGCGATCATCAACAAGTTCTACATCCACTACCAGGTGATAGCCAGTTCCAACAAGAACCAATGCTGGGCCATCCAGGCCCTGCGTCCGTATGTGCTGCTCTTTCGACGAGAATGTGCCAAGCTGCATATGAGCGAGGAGAGCCCCTTCTCCATGGGCGACGCTTTCCACAAGCCCATCCAGTTCTTCATCGATCTGGTGGAGGAGCTGTTCGCGCACTTCTACAGCGGACACCTTCAGCTGGATTGCGCCGCCCGTCTGTTGGATCCCTTGGATCTGACCAGGATGGAGGACTACATGAAGCTATTGGAGCCCAACGAGGACTTCGACGAGTACTTTCTGCACAACATAAGCTTCTGCAAGTGCATGCGGCAGCAGCTCCTGTGTCCTCCGAACGAGCACCACAAGAAGGTCAAGGATCAGTCCGACGCATATCTCAACCATGCCAAGCAGAAGCGGTGTGCCAGGCGGTTTGAGAAAATGGCACAGACTTCCAAGCGGGGCAGCCGTTCGGCGGAGCGGAAGTTGTCCATTGGCAGCGCCAAGGTGAACACGAGTCCTAGTCGGCAGACTTCTGTCGTGGAAGAGCCCGTAAGCAGCCAGCAGCGTGAGCGGAACCTCACGGATCAGCTGATAAGCGTCCTCTGCGTTGCACCCTGATATGGACCCGCCCAGCTCCAAGTTGGCCAACTCGAATTGAAATCAGTCAATTAAACGGGCCAAGTGCACGTGATTGCGTTCTCCGTTTCTCGGAAATGTCTGCGGAAATGTAGTTATCCGCATGCCCCTTGTATATTTGTGGCACGCAAGTAGGAGTTGTTTACCAAGTAAACTTCAAAGTGATTTGGCGATGGTTATGCAGCTCAATTCGGAGGTGCTTTCAGCTGAGAACACATTAATTGGCAGTAAGCTACAGTTTGCACTTAAATTAGGTGGGGCATTTCCAAATTTGTTGTCTGGAAAACCGAGAATTTCAAGTTGCCTTTGAAATTAAAAAGTGTATTAATTAGGTTTGTTGAACATTATATCTCTAAGCTGCAAAGCTATTGGTTTGCATTGCCCACAAATATAATATTATAATTAATTCAACAGAGTTGCTTTTTAATGTACAGGTGCAGTTTTATAGATGATGTGCTCCACTTTTCTATTCCCCTAAAAATTAAAAAAGACATTGTATGGTGGAAATGGTAATCTGCATGTGCGTGACTACCAAATGGCCGGAAAGGCGACGTTGGCCGCGTATTTATAGTATAAGCGTGCATTTATTGAAAGCTAAAGAGCTAAAAATAAGTAAGAGCTAAAAAATGCTAATGCTAAATTTGTACCGCTTGGGTGCGTTCAAGCGCGTTACGTATACGCCGCGTACTCACCGATCTGGCGCCGGAGGTGATGCGGGCGCTCTGGGAGCGCGTGGCCGGCCGGCGTCGCCGGTAGCCGGGAGTACCGCCCTCGGGCGTGGCGCTGCCGGAGGCGCCGGGCATTCCATGGATGACCGTCTCGATGCTGGCGCCGGTGGCACAAATGGAGGCGCTGCGCGTCTTCTTTTGCATCCGATGATGCATCGGCGATATGTCGTCCACCATGTCGAGTTGTGTCGGTTGTGTCGGTGGTGTCGGTAGTGTCTCCGTTTGGCCACCTCCTGGGAAATTTGAGCTCCGGGTCTTTGGTGTCTTCCGGCAGTTTTCCGTAACGAGTTTGGTCAAGTCTAGGGGTTGCTACTTGTGTGCATTAAGCAGTTCGTGCTGTGGCTCTAGTTGCTCTATTTTGCTGCTGTGGATGCTTTGTTGCATAATTCATAATCTGAGTTTGGGATGGTGTGTGACTTTTGTTTGTTTTGTGGTGCACTCTGCAAATAAACCGTGACAAGCAAATGAAACGAATGCAGAAAACATTTAAATGAATTTCTCAAAATAAAATTACACTTTTTCTCGAATTTTTGCTTTGGTCGTGACGTGACCAAGTTCTACAGAAATAACCCAAAGAAATAGTATATATTTTTTGAAAAGCAAAAGTGAGCTACGAAAAGCGAATTTCATCTGCGTTCTACAAGATGCTGTGTGTAACAACATGCAACATAATTTGCTGTGTGATTTTTCACTTCGCCCGCAGCCATTAAACATAAAATTCCTCTGGTTGTTTTTCCAACCGCCCCAATCCCCCCAATCCCCCCAATCTCCCCAATCCCCCGTTCCCCATTCGATTTATTTTTAAACGTGCCTCACGCGTCTCTTGAAAAGTGGGTCAGTTTCGGTAGTTGGCCAAAGCCCATTCGCATTTTCAGTGGACAACCCAAAAACGACAAATTGCTACAAACAAATTTGAAATTTATACGGAGGGCAAAGCCTTTCGGAATTGTGGTTTCTATCGGAGTTATATAAGGCTTAGATGACTGGTTACGCAGGCGATTGGGGTTTTTCATTCTGATTGGTTGATTCATACCGGTTGAGTTGGATTGTTGTTCGTTCTTATATAGCAAAGTTTCATTTTACTTAGTTTAATCTTTGCCGGCAGTCTCCATTCATTAGGAAACAATTATATTTTATCATATAGTTTAAATTTTACTTTTTGTAACCACTTTCCCTCATTATTCTTGTGTCTCAGCCATAGTTCACTTCCCATTTTGTACAAAACACATTTATTGCCAAAGCTCTTGATGAATGGTTCCCGGAATATCGCAGAGACTTCTTTTCATTCGTTTCATAACACATCGCTAATGGGTTTCACTTGATCTTGTCCGTTTACCACGTAATCCTCATGGTCCAAAAATAAACTCTTCATATTGGCCACAGTTGCTAACCCTTGCATCACATCATCCACATGTCGAACTCTTTCGTATGGTTTCCCATGAGAAAGGCATTTCTCAATTGAAATGTAAATAAAAGCTGCAAAGTGTGGAAAGTGTGGAAAGTTTCGAGTGGCACGGCATGGAAAATGCGCTTTAAAGAGTTCGCATAAGTTAAATGAGAAGCGTAAACTGCAGACTGCGAGTTCTAATAGACACTAATTTCCATTTGCCAGTGGAGATTTCCCGAGGCGAAATTAAATCCATTCCATTTCTCAGCTAGCCCAAAGGCAAGCAAACTGAAATTGAGTTTTCCCCGACCGAGGAGATGGGCTGAGGTGCCGGATGCGGAGGCAGCCGGCGGGCCAATCAAAACATATTTGTAATCCATTTAGGCATCCTGTTCGCTCCTTAGACATGCATCATTAGCCACTCGACCCGGGGCATCCTATTCCATTTGGCCCGCTGTCCGCCTCCATTCTCCTCCGTTCCAGTAATCGAGTTACGCTTTCGCTATCTTTTCATCCGCACTTGCACTTAAGTGCATCCAGGACACTTTCCGCACTCTGTCGCCGCCGACGAGCAAACTTGATGAACTTGCAGTTTTGGCCACGTTCATCTGTGGGCTTTAAGGTCCTGCTGCTCGCTAATCAACTTGTGCGAGTGATTAAAACGTAAATAATTAAAATACGAGCCACCCTTTTTTCGCGCTTGGAAGAAAAGAAAAGATTCGGGCCAAGTCCCTTGCAAGTAAATAATGCAAAGGACTCGAGGGGAAAAGGGAGCGGATAAATACAAAAACTTGAAGACGACTTTAACGCGACAGCATATGCGAGAACAGCTTGAGATAAGCACAACGCGGCACTGAGAGAAAAAGGTGGTCGAAATGGGTGCCTTAAAATGCCTCGATGTGAATGTAGTTTCGTGGGAATTCCGAAAAGAAAACCAAGCTTCCATGTTTGCTGAAGGATCAAGGAGACCGTGTGAGTGCAAGTGTATTTTACATCATATTAAAGCGTTTTTTATGTATACCTTGGCCAAAAGCAGCTAAAGAGCGGCTAAAACCACCCCAGCTTTTGACAAAAGCAGCTTTAAAGGGTTGCGAACAGTTTCTGTGCGACTTTACGCTTGATTTGCCACATAAACCGAGAATCCAGCGATGCATTACCAGGACACACGAAAAGGGAAAGCGAAATGGGTACGCTGATGATGATTTCAGCTGCTGACCCATTCAGTCGTGCATGAAACTCCAGGCCACATGGCGATGAAGTCGTCGTCCTTGTCGTCCTCGTCCTCCTCGTCGTCTTCGAGGAATCCTTTGTCAGCAAATGGAACTGGCTCCTCGCCTTGTTTGCATTCAATTGATGCCGCTGGCATTTCTGGCCAACAACAGCTTTGCGCGTGTGTGCGTGTGAGTCCTTCTAATTGGCCGCAGGAGGAGTAGGTGGACTCGTCTTTAAAGCATCGCCGGGTTTTTGCTATTCATTTTCATTTTTATGCCCATAGACTTTGGCGAGCATTTTCCGGCCATATTAGTGCTGCGGTTGGTGGTCATTTGCCTTTATGGCCCGATATGAGGAGGCCAAATTCTCGCTCCCACTCTTATCGGGTGGCCTGTTGCTAGTTATTAACATGAATATTTTGCTTCACTCTTTTCTGGCCCGGCTAATCAGGCCACCCAACGGTGTGGCCCGAACGATGACAGCTGCGCCTGATTCCAGGCCACCTAAGCTATCACAGAAATAAGCCCAAAAATGGTTGCTTCGGCCTACCCATATAAACGCTAAAAAAAAAATGAATAAAAAAGAAAATCCCCGATAAAGTGTCAACAGATAACGCGTATATGGTGCGGTGGGTCCTGAATGAAATTTGACTGTTTCGGTGGTTCATTTTTAGTTGCTTGGTTTGCCTCCTAAAATAAAATAAAACAATGGTGAAATCATCAAGCGCAGTTAGCTGGAACTGCAAACTAAATTGGTTTAAATGGAAGCTGATTGCGGTCGGGAATGGATTGATTTAAAATGTCCAAATCATAGAATGCATAGAACTATTTGTGCTGAGCCATGAGAAAATCTGTGCTGTACTGCAAATATTCCCTATTAAAGCACATTTAACTTTGCCATCAAATGCAGCTCTATATTAGCCAACTAATGCGTACATTTTTCTCCCCCAGGAAACGCTTGTTTCCATCTTGTCCAGCGATGACCTTGGGCCACGCCTCCTTTGTGTGCGAGTTGGTTTGGCGTGCCAGCGGCTTCCTTCAACATGTCCACGTCCACGTCCACATCCACGTCCTTGTCCGAGTCGGTGTCCATGTTGTTATCCGTGTGGCAGGGCAGCTCGTGTCGTTGTCAGTGGATGTTCGCAGCGTTTGTTTAATGTTTCCCTTTGAGCCCCATCTCGCAGCAGGGGTATTTGCTTATGCTCATGGCCAACACCTGTTGCTGCAAAATTAATTTCAATGGGTCACTGGGTGCCGGTTGCTTATCCCAAAGGTCGGGTGGGTCAGGAGTGGTAGAACTCGACTCCTTGACGTCCCCTTATTAATTTCTTGCCGCTGATTGGTGACATTAATCCAAAGCTAGTGGGAGCACTTTCTGGCTGAGATCTTGGGACCAGCTTTGGTATAGAGCTCATTATTATCATATTCGCTGGCAGCTTGTCAACGCAAATGAGCTAAATAAAAACAAAAAGTTTTTATTGCGCATACGCCACGTTGTCGTTGGTTTTACTCTAATGGGACAGCATGTTATTAGCAGCGAGCTATTTCAATTTCTCTCTCTGCTCGGATGAAAACAAATTTGAATGATTAAATAAATTATCCAGCATTTGGATGTGACAGCGGGACTAAGCGTGCTAAGAATTTTTATGATTTAAAAAAGAGCAAAGGCAGCGAAGCATTCAGAAGTCATGATGAAATTCCTTCAGCCCGTCCAATTTTATTTCTTTTCAGTTGACCGCCGAGGAAATCATTGCCCGCCAATCAAAGATTTTCCAACAGCCTGACATTAGTTTATGTTTATTTAGTTTTCTCTACGCAAGTGGCCCCACAGTCACTCATTCTATTCCCTTTGATTTCGTGTTTAATGCTCGATAAATCGATGAGGACCCCGAATATAAACAGGGATTGCTGGCAGGAGAAAGGCAACGGCGGCTGGAATGAGCGAAATCTGCTCGGGAATTTACTTTGCTACAAAGATTTTCCAAATCGTTGGGCAAAATGGAGCTCAAGGGCAGATTATGCCGCCTAATGTGCCGTCTTCTTCGCCAGATTTCCACCGCCGTTTTCCGCGGCTCCCTCGAATCCCTGTCTGTTTAGTTTAAACTCGACGTCTTTCACGGTGATTATGACACATGTTGTGTGTGTGAGTGGGTGTGTGTGAGTGTGTGTAAATACTTGACTGTGCCAGAACGTGTTTATTCCACCTTTGGCCGCCGCCCGCTGTTTACTTCAAGTGGCATTCATTGGGGTCTTACCACGGCTTGTTGTTCCCAATTTAGATTCAAATCAAGCCAAGAGTCTGGCCGCCGGCACAGATGTTTACACAAGAACTCACTTCATTTAGTTTGCGACAGGATAAATACGGCACTTTGAAGTGTGTGTCATAATTAACTATCGGGAAATGTCCTTAGGCATTTGTTCGGCGGCAATTTGGCCCGGAAATAAATCGAGGAAGCATACGATTTTCCTTTTTTCTTCCTTATTTTTTACGAGTATGTGTGCGTCCCCTTACCCGAGGCCCTAATTGGTTAGCATTTGATTTCACATGGTCTTTGTTCGATTTTATTACGGGAATTGGATTTTTCCAGCTCGAACATTTGAGGAATTTCTTTTGTTGAATCTGCCAAGCCAACTGAAAAATGCCTTTGAAAGTGAATAATTGAGAAGGAAAGCCAAAAGTATTTGGGAGCAGGGTATATTTTATGCCACGCTCACTAAGTTCAATAAATCCAACTGTAACAAAAAGGTTATAAAAACATTTAGCCGAATGGAATTCAGATAATCTCTCCTAATTTCGCAGATCGTGTCAGAATCGACCAATCTCTGGACTGACACCATTTTCCTTCTACTCCAGTGGTTCCCTTCAAAGCTGTTTGACTGGAATCACTGGCGGCTCCTTCTTCCTCGAGCATCTATCTGATTTTCAAACTCTTTATGCCATTCTGTTTGCATGGACACTGCTGACCCAGACACTTGCAATTATGTTGCCCGGGGAGGGGAAGGGGCATATCCTGGAGGAAGTGTTCTCAATGTCCATCAAAGTCAGCTGGCTGGAATGGTGGAAGTGGCTGCCGCCAGGGAAATACATGGAAAAATGGATAAAAAGATAAGCCAGCCAGGAATTTATTCACATTTGAACTGCTGTTTGTTTGCTCCGTTCGGTTTGGTTTGGCTTGGTTGGGTTGGCTAACTGTTGGTTGCTTTTGGTAGCTGGAAGCATTTTAAGTGTGTGCATAAATATTTTTGTTAGTTGTGTCTGGCTGAGGAGGGGTTATTCAGCGGAAGTGTGCCCCACTTCACTGACAGCCCAGCCGCTTGGCTCCTACTCCAATTTGCTGCCCAATTGTCACTGGCACTGAGCCCAGTCAGGTTTTTCTGCCGCAGTAAAACGGGAGTTGTGCACGGTAGAAAAAAGGGGTGAGCTTTAAAGAGTTGCTCTTCAGACATTCTTCCCTGGAAAGCCATCGTTTATAGATGCCAGTTTGTGTTTGAGGTAAGAGTGCCAGTCACCAATGCCATTTCATTCAATTGGGCAAGGCTATCTCACTTATTGCTGGATAATTTGGGCCATGTAGGCAGTTGCATAAATGATTATATTTCCCACTTACGACAACCCTTTTCCCCCAGTGCAGCAATAGGAACACGAAGCTGTCATGTTCATAGCTTTTCCGGGCGTAAAAAGTCCAAAGAGCAATGACAGGGGCGACGACATTTTTGGGGCCAAGTGCTGGCTGGATAATGGGATGGCCAGGAGGAGGTGGACAATGCCGCGACCTGGTCGAAAGCCGGGTTCAGCCTCCAGCCTCCAGCCTCCAGCCGCAGCAGCTCGGTCCTTTGCCTCTGATGTGCCCGATGTCAGGTGCAGGCCAAAACGCTTTCAGGAACTCACCTTTGTTCCCAGACTCTCCATGGGCTGAACGTTGCTCCACGTTGTAGTCAGTGCAGGTTTTAATTGAATTTGGAATATTTTTGGCCCAGTGGCCGGGCAATCTGGCCAATCCACTTCGGCCAAGAGCCACGAATTTGGCTATGACCAGATAGTCATAGGCGTCCTCTGCCACCTACCTCTGCAATTAGTGGTGGCTGTTCTCTTGCTCAAACTCTAATGGAATTAGTTGTTAATTTGATTTGCCATAAAAGCAGTCCGTGCCTCAGCTGGGTGGGTGCCACAAGGCACCGTTCCATGCGGCTCCTTGCAGCAGGGCGTGGCCAGGAAGTCGCGTGCCAACGGAGCCAGACACTTTGTTTTAATTGGCCTGGGGCCAGTGGATCCAGTGGATCCAGTGGATCCGGTGCAGGAGGAGCAGCTGCAGGAGCAGCAGCAATCGCATCGACCCGCACACATTGGAAAAACAGTGAATTGAAATCAAAATGCCGCACTGCAGTTACATTTGTTTTTCGCCCTGGCTCCGCCGATGACCCGCCCTCCTCCGATGGGGATTGTGGTCATGGACTGTCCTGATTAGGTTCCAGATCTCCGGGGAATTGCTGCGGCGATTTGTATCACTAATGATTGCCCGCAATAACTGCTCTTTGTTTGCTCCATTCAGTTTCGCTTGTTTTCGCTGACTGCGAGTGACCAGCAATTTGATACTATCTGAACCAGTCGGTCATATGGCTATAACTAAAATGTGGTCCATTTTTTGCCCATTAGGACAAATGTTTAAGCAGTGCATTGACATTGCGCTTGAAGTACAAAAACGGAATGATGAGTTTCCCAAACATGAAACTGCATACTATACGGGTATGTATGAAAAGAAACATGCAACATAATTCCTGGAAAATGTAATTGCTATGAGCAAAGTTCTGAAAAGCGGGCGAAAAGCATGAAAATTAATTACATGGGACTTTAGTTGCGAAAACATTAGGAAAACGACATTTCCATCAAGTTTCCCTTTGCATTCATAGTTACGCTGACTTAGCCGCAAATTGTTTGTATTTTCTCCACGTTCGCAGGGCTTTTCTGTAAATTTATTTCACCATTTTCAGGCTTTTCCTGTCCCGACGCAGTTTTTACTGCTCGCTTATCGGAAATATTCCGCCAGCCTCTGCAGATCCTGTACTCCATGACTTCTGATTAAATTGTATTTTATTTTATTTTATAGGAAATCCATTTATCTGGTGTTACACTGCCCGAATTGATTGTTATTTAGCAATTTCCCGCAGGCCCCCTCGCCACCGAGCAAGTGCTTTATGGCACCCCAAAGAATTCGCTCTCAAATAAACCATTTCGAAAGGGAAGACCATAAACTGAGGAGGCTGCTGACTTTTTGCCGTTGAATACTTAATGCAAAGGGCAACGCGGCGTATGAGTGATTCGCTTTTCTGCTGTTTTTTTTCTTTTTTTACTTCTTTAAGGCTTTTCCGATTATCCTGTGGCGAAAAGAAAGGGAACTGGGAATGGGTGGGAATTAAGTAAACAAATCGAACCGCTGCCGGAAACGCAAAAAGTGCCAGGCCACACGACACTTTCGCTGATGGCTTCTCTACTTTCTTGTGGTAAAATATCTATGTGGGTCACGACATTGCAATTAGGCAATTTAATTAATCAAAACAAACCTGTATTTCGACGGTTGGCACCTCTGACTATCCCTGCCGGAATCGAGTTCCAGCGTCCTCGGCTGTGGGCGGTCACCAAACTCGAGAATCCATCCAGGAAAAGTATGCCATCCAGGTTGGCGGCGCTACTTATGTATTTGATCGATAATTGCTATGAAAAGAATATTGTGATGGCGGCTCACTTTATGTACATATGTATATATAGCGAGATAATTTTTGCACTTGTTCACTTCTCCTTTTCCTTGTTTTCCGTTATTTTTAGATAATGTGAAGTGAATCCGAAACCGAAAACAAGCACATACAATTTTTCATTTTCAGATATTTCAGATTTCAGATATATTTTCCACCACACAACTTGTGTACCAATCGCCGGCACACATTGCATAAATATATATTGAGTTTATTATATTGTTTTGATTATTTTTGTTGTTGTGGCTGTGGTATTTCCAAACGCGGGTTTTCCAACTCAAAACGAAACGATACGTGAGGCGCAAGGCGATTTTCCAACCGCTTTTCACATCCGATCCGTGCGAGCGCCGTCGAGTGTTTGAAGCGATTTTGGTTCGGTTCAGTTCGGTTCGGTTCGGTTCGGTCCGTTTCGGTTCGCTGTGGCAGTTGGGTTCGGTGCTTTCAACAGTGACGTCACGGAAAAGCTCTGCCACGTCACCGTTGGCTTTTCCGAGCGCATTGCTCTGCTTGTCCGTCCACTCACTCACTCCGTTGCGACCCTTCCGATTTCCCCACCATTTCGATTGTTTGTATTTTTTCTTTACGACTTTCCTTTGTTTATCTTCGGCTGTCTCTGCTGACTTTGTTTTGAATGTTCCATCAATGGAGCGCAAGGATGGTGGAAAATGGGTGGCAAAAGGTAGTGAAAAGTGGGTGGCTCGCTGGTGGAAATTGGGTGGCAATATGGGGCAGCAAAGACGCTTTGGGGATTGCAACGTTTAAATCTATTTTTTCTGACCCCCTCTCTGCTGCTTCCTTTGTTTTGGTTGTGGTTCTGATTCTGATTCCGATTCTGCTTCTGCTTCTGCTTGTGTATCGGTTTTGTTTTAGCCTTGTTTATAGCTCGTGTTTTTCCTAGGTTCTTTTATGATCCGAATCGCTGACAGCCAAGCAATATTTCGAATTTGTGACGAGCATTATTCGGCGTTTTATTAATGTTTCGATTTTGGTTGAGTACGTGGGGTTTTACCCACTGCTCATGCTCATGGCTTATTTGCCAATATATTCACATTTTGGCTCAGAAAAAATTAAAAAAGTAATTAGCGCGATGCTATAAACGGTATATGTAGATGTATATAATTATATGGACTGTGAAATAAAAAGGAAAGAAGATAAAAAACAATTCCATTCGTTAAATACTAAATAAAAACTAATTAAACCAGTGAACAAATTATATGACTCATGTTATATTCTCGCAAAAAATTTAAAAATTGTAATAAATTTTTTTGCCTAGGTAAATAAGATATGCAAGCTTTTCTTGTTGTGCATTCTATACTCCTGCCGATAAATCCATTCCTCATTCGATTAGTTTTATTGGGAATACTTGTGACATGGAACACTTTAGTGCTGCTCCCCGCGATTTGCAATTACCCAAATGACCAAACACATTTGCCAAATGCAGCAAATGCCAAAATGCAAGTGCCAAAAATACCAACAATAAACGCACCTGCTGCAACGCGAAATGCAATTAATCTTCAGCGAAAACCTGTCGCACAGACCGCAAACAAATCCCATCAGCGTCACAAATCGCATATGGGCCAAATTTGGTAGCTTTTTTCGGAACGTCACAATATGTCAAGTTTCGTGATGATTGAGTGAACTAAGGAATCGCAAACAGAGTGATACGGGTGGATAGGAAAAGTCCTCGAGGCTTAAGGAAAACTCACCCAAATGGAACGCTTGACTGAAGTCAAATGGTGTTTGTTTTTGTTATTTTGTGGAAGGTGTGTGTTATGAGTACAGGTGAAAAGGGGAAAATACCATTACCTTAATTATTACCTGTGAATATAAGAAACTGTATACGAGTACCCGAACTTAGTTAATGATTCCGTTAGTGATTCAGGTACTTATAATCTCTAAGTGATATAAAACTGAAAACAAGTATCCCTGAAATATTTATAAACAATCTTATGGAGTGTTTACTGTATTGTTGTTTGTGGTGTTGTGGCTGCTCCTGCCACGTGGTTGAATACGATGGCCTATATCTTATCAACTCAGGGTGTGTGCCTCTGTGGCATATTATCATAAGCCATGATTTATTTATAGAGGCCACCAGGTGGCACACACCCATACTGCGAAACGCACACCCATACACGAATTCGTACTCGTATGGATTGCCTTTGTCCTCGCTCAAGTTCGGAAAGAGCTGTCAATTGATTTACTTGACCCACATGGGCAAAAGCTCGACTCGAACCACACCCACCAGTCCACCAGCCCACCGCCTTTTCACTAATGCGATCAATATTTGGCAGATAAAAAGCGGGCAAGCTAAGTTGGCCCCCTTCAGGCCGCAGGATAAATGGAGGTTTAAAGCTCGCGCTTAAAGGCCAATTGTTGCTGCTGATGGAGGGTAAAAGCCGGCAGACCTCAGGTGCTGGTCAATTAGAAGGAAATTCATTTCGCGGATTTGCCGGCAAACGGGAATTTATGTTAATTTATTTCGAAAAACTTTTTAATTAACCCACAAACGGTGAATTGAGACCGCGCATCCCAACTTTTGGTCCCGTTGCCAAGTGGCGACTTGCCACCAAACACAGCACTCCGGATCTGTATCTCTCGCCTTCCGCTTAAAGCTGGCTAATCTATGCAAATGAAATGCGCACACCTGTCGGCCAAAAAGGTGGGCCCAAACCAATGGCAAGTAACCTTTCCCAGCTGTCTGCTGTGGCTTTGTCGGTCGCTTTGAGCCTGTTTTTTGGCTACAATTTGCCCAAACTTGCCACGCCGCAAACGCTTAATTGCAGCTCGAGGGCTGCGGGTAAATGTATAATAAGGAGCTCAGCCGGAAGAGGGGAAAAATCACGTGGTCTGGTGTCACAAAATGAAGCTGTTGCTAATGATATTCATGAGTTTGTCTTTGGTGAGGCCATTTCCATTGCAAATAGAACATAGACGGGGAATTCGGAGGGCTTTCAGTTCACTTCCATGGAAGAAATGTAGTTTGATTGAGGATGCATAAATGTATTTCATTTTATAGTATGTTATTTGGTCAGCAGAGCTAAGCCAATAGCTGCCAGACCCTGCGGTTTCCATCTACCCATTTCCATACCACGCACTAAGCAAACATCATCGCTGTCGGGGAAATCCCTTCCATCTGCCACTCGACGCGTTGCGTGCCGCAAAGTGTAAGATAAATGGAGGCTGTAAAAGCAGAGCGCCTCGCTCGGCAGCTCGGCGGGATTGGGATCCGGATCGGGATCGGGAACGGGAACGGGGTAAAAGGAAGGGCAGCCACTTTATCATAAACTCAACAGGTTCCACTCCCTCCGCCCTCCGCCGCCATGTGCGTGTAAGGGTGTGTGTGTCGCCTTGTCATAAAAGTTGTTGCGCTGATTGAATAAAAATTTCATTAAACGCACATTTTCTAGCAGCCGGAAGGCGTTTACCCTGCAATCCATCTGAAAATCCTTTGCGAGGACTACAGATGAGTTGTCGCAGCCTGGCTTGTCTGTCGTTTATTTTAATTGCCGGCATTAGGCGCTCGTTGATGGGCCATAAAAAGGCAGTTGGCTCGACGGTTGGCAGTCAAAGACAAAATGAAAGATTCGACTCTGGAGAATTATTTGCACGCCAATAGATACTGTCTTGGAGGTTTGATGCCCAGAAACCTCATGAATTATTGTATGCATGTAACAAAACAGGTATTTCTCAGCTACAGATGGGTTTTCCCTTTCGCTGCTTTTGTTTTAGGCGCCTCGCCGGCTTCATTTCCGTTTGGGAAAAGTGGGAGTTATGGAACGTGGGGGGCGTTCGAAAATGTCAAGGAGTCGTTGTCATTCCGCTTTTGCGGTTGCTTATTCGGTTGTTAAATCGCTTTTATGACGTATTCTCCGCTGCCGAAAATTTACGCTCTGCGGTTAACTTTCCCCTTGGCATTTCCCGCCCTCATTTACCATTTTCCTGTTCGCCTCACTCCGTGTGAATCTTCTGTATATAGCTTTCGAGTGTTTAGGTAATTTCGCAGATTTATTCAAATTCGAGAAAATCGTGGAAAGGGAAGCAAGGTGGATGGGTATGGATGCCAATTATCTGCCGAAATATTTATGTAGTAATTCTCGTATTCCAAAATGCAGAGCTGGATTCAGCTTGTTGTTGTTATTTTCTCTTTAGTGATAGTTTTTAGAAGGCGCAGTTTAATGTGTAAAATATGACTTAGAATATTGCTAACAAAACTAGGTTACCATTTACTTAAAACTTAAATTTTTTTCCTTTAATTATTATATTTTAATAAATTAAAATGCTGTCAGTTTAATGTAAATATTTACACGTGAATGTAGAGTAGCGCCCTCTAGTTGTTAAATTCAAATTTGTTATGTTAACAACAGCGATGCCTAACTCTGTTATTTACCGATGTCTAAACAGGGAAGCCCATCATAGCGAAGACACAAATTGGAACTAAAGCGAGGACTCACACCATCAAATTTTAATACAAATTAGGCCGCCTATTGTTATAAAACAAATGGAAGGATAATTTGCAAGATAAACGAACCTCACACATATATAGATATAAAAAAAATTGCTGAAAGTCATCAATTGTTGTAAAATAGAAGTTACTTATACAAAATTTATGTCTAGACCAATTGTTTTCGCCATATTATTTGCACCACTATTAGTTGGAAAATTAGGTAAACTCACCAAAACGTCGAGACGGCTGGGGAGATAACGACACACTGGGAAAAAAAAACTAAAATTAGGATTAAGACTATTGAATGTTACTTCAGCGATGATGCACACATTTTGTTTAGGTGCAGGCGAACACAGGTAAACCGCTCTCTTTGATGCTCTCCTATTTTGTAGAGTTTGTTGCTCGCCGAGAGGGCGCTCTCTCCCTCTTTTTCTGCGCGTCACAGGTAAAATTCAAACGGTGCTTCGTAACGTATTTCGCTTGGATCGCCACCACCGCAACAAGTGCGCAGGTGCAAGCGGGACGTCAGTTGGAGCGGCCAGAAAGAGACGGCTAGCGGGTATCGTAGATCCGAGAGAGTGAGAAAAGGTTTTGTTGGCGACTTTTGGTTTATTGCGCTGAGCGCGGCCCAAACGCAAAGCGATCAGTTGCTCAACGCGCTTACCTGTCGATAGACGTGTTTTTCCCGAAAAAGGAAAAGCCGCGTGCCTCGTCTCGCTCGCTCATTCTGCGCGTGTGTGTGTGTTACTGTGAATGTCTGCTGTTTACGAGCATGTAAGTGAGTGTGAGTGTATATTCAATTAATTACAAAGTCAGGGAAGAAGCAGCTATGTGAATTGAATGAAAGAAAGCCAGTTAAAAAGTATGCAAAAAAGTTGCCTGATACAAAAGGCAGGGTGAAAGAAGTAGAAGCATCAGCG